TAGGGGCTTAGGGTTTAGGGGCTTACTGGGTCTTGTTCAGGGATTTAATTTAACGTACTGTAACAAGGAAATCATATTATTGCTCTACATCTCTATTATAGTAACTTAAATGAAGTTCCTTCTCAAGAACCAAGTTTAGGGTTTTGGGTTTTAGGGTTTATTGTTTAAGGGTTTACGGTCTTAGGGTTTACGGGTTTAGGGCTTTAGGGTTTAAGGTCTCAGATTTAGGGAAAGAAACCTCGAATCGGCCAGGCGCCACGCGAACCTTCCTGCCGGACCGTGGCCGTGGGAAGTTTTCTTGGTCCATTTCAGGGTAAACCCCAAGCCCTAAAACTAAACCTTATATCTTAGAACCTGAAACCGTAAACCCTAAGCCCCTAAATCCCAAACCCAAAAGCCAAACTGAATTTCGATGCCCCGGCCTGTGCATCCCAGCTACGCAAAGCCCCGAATCCAGGCCCACCAAGCAACTTCAGGACTAGGGGCTACCGTTAAAGGCTACCTTTCAGGGTTAACCCTCGAAGGGTTCCTTTAAAGGGATCCCTTCTGGGATCTACAGGTTTTTCGGATTTAGGGCTTTTTTTTTTGGAGGTTTTTGGAGTTCTGGGTTTCGGGGTGAAGCATCCGGGTTTTTGGTGGATTTTGGACGTTAGGGTCTTGTTTTTTTTTTTGTTGCGGCGTTGAGTTGTTTTTGGGACTGAGGGTCTTGAGGTATAGAGTTGAGTCAGTAAGGGATTAGCTAAGTTAACGTCAGTCTTGGATTGAGTGTCGGCGGAATACTTACAGGATTCAGGATGTAGTCGTTTAGTGCTTTACGTGTTGAATTTGGGGGTACGAGGTAAGGTTTATCCTCGACTTATCTCTGAGCCATTCAACATCTCAACGTCCTTAATCATAATAGCCCTGGTGGGAAACACTTAATTTATTGCTTGTGGTGGGTCCTTTTCGGAAACAGTCCATATCGTGGAGCCCACCTTGTCTTAAGACCCTTGTCTGAACCTCACGGTTACCGTATGAAGGCCGGGCCTAGATGTTAGATAAACCTGTCCCTGTAACCGTGAACTCAGTGATGATCTCATCTCACGGGGTGAGGAGGGCGAGACTATGGATGCCGAGGGCAATGCAGAGCGCACGCTGGAGGTGAGCGGGCTGAAGCATGCGTTTTGTGGCGGGGATCCGCGATGGTGCGGACATTTCAGATTCCTGGTCAGTCAAAGAACAGCGTCGCCCTAGTTTCGAATCCGACAGTGACTTTTCCTGGCTTGCGCCAGTCTTGTGCCCCAAGCCGTAGACACGAAGCCGAAACCCTAAGCTCCCTGGGTCACCCAGGCTGGGCAGATGAGCCAGACCGACCAGGCTCAGATGTTTGAGCCCGAACCCTACACTTTAAACCCTAGAATTAGCCCCTAAACCCGAAACCCTCGGGCTCAAGTGTTTGTGGCTTCGTTTGGGCCTTCGGGTACGCGACCGCTTCGGACGGAAAGAGTTGTTTTTGTTTTTGCGTAGCGCTTGCACCATCGCCAGAAGAGAGGAGCCCTCTAGAAAGGCTGTGTATAGAGCCTTCGCGCCGGAACCCTGTTAAATGACCTGTGAAGCCCAACTGCATTCAACAAGGGCATAGCACAGCAAGGCTGGCAGAGCCCTAAACCTAAGAGACCTTAGCCCGTAAGCCCCGGGTCCATGCACCTATCCTGAAGCTATCGACCTCCCAGAACCCTCAGCCTGGAACTCAGAGCTTTGAACTAGAAATCCCAAACCCCCTGAACCTTACAAGCTTTAACAGTCGGACGAATCGAACTAAGCGGGTTGCTACAAACTAAATGTCCAAGAAGATGTACCACGTTTCGAAAACATGGACGCCAAGCGTTGGAGGGTTGTTCGATTCGGCGGCACAGTTCTGTTTATCCCTTTTTAACCATGCCTGAAACGTTTTGCAGCACCGCGGCTAAAGACTAAAATTTCGGAGGCCCACCAGAAGACGCTCGCCGCCGACGAGCGCCGCAAGCGCCAGGCAGACCGCGACGAGAAGTGACCTGGTCTGCAAAGGGGGGTTTGGGGGTTAGGGTTTAGGGTTTAGGTTTTGGGGCTTAGGGTTTAGGGTTTGGGGCTTAGGGTTTAGGGTTTGGGGCTTAGGGTTTAGGGTTTAGGACAGTCTAGGGTGTGATGCAGGGTGTAGGGTTTAGGGGCGGAGGGGTTTGGGCTTCAGGGGTTTCGGGTTTAGGGCAGTTTAGGGTTTTGGGTTTCGAGTTTAGGGAGCTGAGAGGGTGGCTTTCTGCAGTCTTGTCCCGTGGGGGGTTTTACAGGCTTGACGGGGTTCGTGAATTTTCTGAGATTAGCACTTGTACTAAACCCTAAACCCTAAACCCTAAACCCTAAGCCCTAAACCCTAAACCCTAAAGAGCCCTAGGCCCCAAGCCCTACGAGCTAAGGACTTCCTGTTCTAGGGGCTTTGGTTTCTGAAGCTTCCAAAATGTATCCGGGGGTTTCGGGGCTGCAGGCTTAAGCCTTCGCAGTCGTCAAGAGTCGGTTTCGCCTATGTTTTTTGAAGCTTGAAGGCTTTCTGATGCAGGTGGATCTGCGCGAGGGTGCTAGAGGGGTTTAGGTTTAGGGGTTGTTGGGGTTTAGGGTTTAGTGGCTGTTGGGGTTAAGGGTTTAGGATTTAGGGGCTCTTGGGGTTTAGGGTTCTCGGTTTTTTTGGGGCTCTTGGGGTTTTTGCAGGTGGTGTTTTTTTCTATATTTTTTGGGACTTCGGGGCTTTGGGACTGGAGGGAGGGCCTCAGCTTCTCCACCCTTGAATATTAGGGATTAGGGTCTATAGGGTTTAGGGTTTGGGGTTTAGGGTTTTGGGTTTAGGGTTGTGGGTTTAGGGTTTTGGGTTTGGGGTCTAGGGGTTTAGGGTTTAGGGATAATGATGACAAATCCGTAAGCCTTGTGGGTTCAAACACCAAAGATTAGAGGTCTAGGGCTTAGGGTAGACATGAAATGATG